CATATGACCTTTATATACAATTTTTGATTCTAGAAGGCCACTTGGGGGAGCTAATTTATTACAGGACACCTTGTACATATCACACAGCATCCAAGAAACATAATATATCATTTTCGGATTTTTTCGTGATTAAATTACTTCCTCGCCAGCAACATAGGAAGTAAAAGACCCTGTATCTATAATAAGCAAAGTTGAATTGTTGTGTGTCGTCGATCGGCTGAGCAATTCGTCGTCAGAGTAGAATGCGGAGATAGCGAACGAACGTGGATTTATCGGGTGTTTATTTCCACGGACAGTGACGAGGAGCTTTGAGGTGAGCCACAGCTACAGCTAAGCTCGCATAGTTCTCACTACATGCGCGCAAAACATCACTACATAAATTACTATACATTGGGTTGAAAAGTGTTGTGTCGCAGATATCTTCAGGCATGACCATCGGTATTTCAGCTTATGTAGGCATCAGGAAGTTAGGTGTGATGTTGATCCTTTATCATTAGATGCTAGTGCAAATGGCGTTGTTAAGGAAACTATCAACAAAATTCAATTGATCAGTCTAAGGAAGTGACAATTGTGATATATGCGAAAATGTATTCCCTGAAAAAATCTCATATGTAGCTGATGACAGCACTCTACATGCAGGAATTCAGAGTGACAAGCCGATCTCTGCCGCTGAGCTGGAAAGAAGAAGACTAGCGACGACTTCCACTCTGACACTCTTGTCAGCAGGCTATCACTGCTTGGGGACGCAACAGTCTTGTACAGTTCAATGCTGCCAAAACACAGTACTGTACTTTGACAAACAAAAAGCGTCCTAGCGCTCATCCGGTTTCGATGGATGGCCGAGTTCTGCCAAAGAGCCATTCCTTTCGGCTGGTCGGAGTCCAGATCACCGAGGACCTGATCTGGCACGAACACATCTCGTCAATAGCAGCAGCTGCTATGAAAAAGCTAGGTAGGCTATTTCTTTAGGGCTAAGAAGTACTTTTCTCCGCATGATCTTCTCACTCTATACAAGGCCCAGATAAGGCCCAGCCTCGAGTATTGCTCACACGTTTGGGGTGCTGCCACCCCGACTACATTGACCATGCTCGATGCTGTACAGAGGAGGGCGGTCCGACTGATCTATGACCCTTCTCTAACAGACAGGCTCGGGACCCTTTCGCACCGGCGGACCGTCGGCGATCTAGCTCTTTTCTACCGCTGCATCAACGGGCTTTGCTCCTCAGAGCTCTCTTCCATGATGCCGCCGCGCGATGTGCCTGCCAGGCAGACCCGCCTGACTTTGGCGTCCCATGCTAACCGTGTCGAACTTCGTGCATCCATAACTGGCCGATACGACCGCTCCTTTATCCTGAGGGTGACGAGACAGTGGAACAATCTACAGGAGGAAGCTTTTCCCAGTTCTACTGACCTTGGGCAGTTCAAAAATCGTATTAACAAAATTTCTTTGGGATCTTCATAGCAGCCGCGGTGTTCCGGCATTTAGGCTTCAGCCTGCGCGGCTGCTTCGATATAAAAAAAAAATGTCAGTTTGAAGCTAGTAACACACGGAGCCCCAATTTCTTAGGTGGACATATATAATTTACGTCTCTGTAACCATGACCAACCGTAGACAGTGCTGTTTCGTACTTCTTAGCAACTCATCATAGATCTTAGATATTGGAGACAGACTAATGGGGAGCAAACACGTGGAAATTTGTCTTTTGAAAAACTCAAAACGGTATCATCATCTTCAACATCTACTTTCCACTTGATTGCTTCCCGTTCGTCGGTCTAGACTAGACCTAAAACCTACACCCTATACTATACCTATACTGATGAGTTGTTAATGAGCACGAAGCAGCGCTGGCGAGTGACACACCTCAGATGTTCACATACTGGCACACAATGCCCCAAAGTACCCAAAAGTACGACACTATGATTTTTACAAGCTTTTATTTGACATCTTTGTGGGATAAACCATGGAACCTGAAATTTTGTACACGCGTTTGGTTTGCGTGACAATACAAAACGAATTAACCATTTTCAATTCAGTGCTGCAAATGGCGATTTATCATTTCCATAGAAACCCTTATGGTGTGCGTATCCAATGAAAGAACTGCATGAGAGAAACGCAACAAGTGAAGCGACATCATTTTGAATCCAATATTTTCCACAGTAATTTGTATGATATGGATATCAAATAAAAGGGCTAAGTCCAATATGATGGCCACCGCAAAAAAGCGATTCATAATTTCCATAGTCACTCCTATACAAGGGGTATCAAATGAAATGGCTTGATGGGGGAAACACAATAATCAAATAATAACGTTCTAAGTTTCACCTGGCGATCACTGCAAAATATCGTTTTATCATTATATGATTTATGCCTATCGAAATTTTATAGTATAAATGAAGTAAGAAGTTTGTTTGGAGTCCCATTAATGAAATATGTAAAAATTATACAGAGATTATCAAACTACTTATTTGACATCAAAAATACTAAAAAATAAAAAAATCTTATAGACAGACTTTTGTTTAGCTGTTACTAAATTGAACTAAAAATCCTAAAATAATTTTTCCGATTGGAATTATTTAAACGTAAATGAAACCTCTAGTTTCCATATAAAAGCGTATGGAGTAACTGTGTTTAGCAGTTGAATGAGTTATACCTATTATGTGTCTGATTCACAACCTACTAGCTACTACAGTTGTTATTATAAGAATTTGTTTTTTTTCTGCGTATTGATTAGAGGCAATGTATTTATTGGTTCTAAATAAGTATTGAAATTCACCGCTCAGAATTACTTATGCGTACGTACATAGTTTCATTCATATGAAACAGTAAGAAACAAAAATAGAGGTTTTTCTACACATTCTTAATAGTTTTTGAGTGTCCCCATGTAAATGTCAATGTATTAACTAGTCTTAACAGCCATTTTTAAGATTAGTCACAATATTACAAGAATATTGCCTTAATTTTTCATTAAATCGCAGATCTATATGTGGGCGAAAATACGTAAAATGAAATTTTGGAAATTTTGGTCTGACATGATTCCATTCAATCATATAAATACCTTCAACTCGATTAAAATGAGCAATGCTTCATAATATCTGTTGCTTATCTCTTTTTTTTTCAACTGCCTGCTTGGAGCACTCTAAATCCTTTTCATCTGATTACTTCACGGTGTGTATAGAGGTGACTCACTATTATCAATTTTCTTTGTCAAAAATATATGTTTTTGAGTATTTCATTGTGCATTCTTTCTTCAAGCGTACCTTGTTAACAAATAATGATACAGCAATTTGTCAGAAAAGAAACCAATAACATTGTCTTTTAGTCATCTCTATGCAAACTATGAAACAGTCAGACTAAAAGTATTAAGAATACTCCTCCAGATAGGCTGTTGAAATTCAATTTAATTCTTTATTTGTGAAGTACTCCAACGTGTTTACACAAGTCAAAAGAAAGAAAGTCAAAAATGAAAAATGGAAAACGATGATGTACAAACCTTACACAATATATCACTAATGATACGATACATTATCATCCAATAAAAACGCAGACATAACAAATCATACAAGCTGTAAAAAAGTAGGAAATATATATAAAATAAAATTGAAATTTTGGTATAAAAATTCACAAGAATGTTTTAGCAGAAGGTTGAAGAGGCTAGAGGAGCCCAAGTGTAGGACACTGTTATGTTTGTTGATATTCCGACAAGTCTGAAAAATTGTTGCTTAAGTACTCGTTGATCGAATAAAACAAACTTATGCATTCAATATCTCGTCGTAAGGAAAATACTTTTAACGATTGGGCTGAGTGATCCAAGTTTAACAATGCGAATGAAAGTCTTGATTAAAAGTAAGAGTATAGGTTGATATCTCATTTTCTGCAAGATGTGCACATGATAACATGATTCATTTGAGACCAAACAAAATTTTAATTAATGGCATACTAAAGGCTTTAAATATGGGTATTAGTCTTATCATATTTGACGAAAATACTCCTGGTTTGCGAAATAATTGTAAAGTCTGGTTTTATTGCTGCAAGTTGTTCAAAAGGGTATTTAAAACATGGACGCATAAAATGGGTACACCAGTTTTTTGTGGGAAAACTTGTTATTTGACAACAAAGAATGAGAAAATGAGTTTTTTGGGATTCAATCGAAAGAGTTGGTAGGAACGATAAACTCTTTCTATAATATTTTTAGGTATTTATGAGACATACAAAATGAGACCACACATAGAAACATCCGACGAATAGCAAAAAAGTTATGACCGAAAACCGAGGCAAACTGCAGGTTTTGGCACTTGCTGATAATGCGACGATGGCTCCTCGCAGATACTTGAAATTTTTCAAATTCATAGAATTCTTACTTCTAAATAACCACAACAAAATTGAAGTAGATCGGTCAAGTAGTTTTTGAGAATGTCTAATTGTTTATCCCGAAACACCTGCCTTCCGGCAATCACTACTAGTTTAATAAGCAGTATACAGGGTTAGTTCAAAGGGCATTTTATAGTAAAATACACTAGTGATGTAAAATAATTAAGTAACGCTTACAAAATAATCGTTACAAATGAGTAACTAAATGTAACGAGTCCTACTTTTTGAAAAGACTCGTTACTTTTTATTTGAATTCGTTACTTTGAATGCGATACGGTCTTTTTCTATGTATACTTTTTAATTACTGTTAGTTACTACACTATACATTACATTAGATACAAACGTTACTGGGATCTAATGTAGCCAGTACTGCCAGCGCCAACAGCAAGTGACTTGGTTCTTGGATGTAAACTGGGTGGAAATGAAATGATGCGAATATCGTTAGGCTTAGGCAACTTTAGATACTCTTCTATCAAACGAGTTGCGGACTGCGGAGCTTTAGGTTGGCAATGTTTGTGTACACCTGTACACTTTTCATTTGACTTTGAGAGCTAGCGGTTGGCGGGTTGTTACTGGTTTGGACGTTGCCGTACAAGCTCGAGCAATAATATAATTATTATTTGTACAAAATATGGAATCATCCGCGTCCGGTTCAGGAGAATCGCAAACTCAAAAAAGAAGTGTTATTTGGATGCATTTCACCAATATATCGGAAGCTAATGCAAAGTCTAATCTTTGTAAAAATATTTATTCGCATAAAAATGGAAACATTAGCAATTTAAGGAAGCATTTGAAAACTAAACATCCGACTCTTTCATTGGAAGGAGAAAGGGCAAAACGGCGGGTGGAAGACGAAAATATGACTAGGTGCAAAAAGAACTTAGTTTCAGGTATGTTTTATTAGGTATTTTGTTGAACACCATTTACAGTGGAGTAACCAGACTGTTAATTAGGGCAGGGGAGTAACCAGACTGTTAGGGCAGGAGACGCTACTCAACTAAAGTAAAGAGTGAGGAGAGTGGTTCTTCCACGGTCCCCATCTGGTTATGCCACTTGTTAAATACTATTTACAGCGTACAGCCGACGAACCAGACGTCACACAACGACGAGTTTAAAATATAAGTACCTTCTACGTATCAAATATCAAAAAAATTAATAGGCAAGGCATTAGACAAAAAATAATTGGATCAATCCCAAAGTAATAATTTGATATAATATATAGAATGTAGGTTCAAAACGAAATGTCCAAATAGTAACTAAACTAACGAGTCCAAAGTTCGAAAGTAACGAGTCCTTACAAGTCCTAAAAAGTAACGAAACTTTGCATCACTAAAATACACTAGCTTACCTTGCCGATATGAATCGCAAACCATTCCGGAAGATAAATATTATTTTCATGAAACAAAGGATGGGTTATTTTTTTTTTCTTTTAAAAAAATTCAAATATTTCCTATTTAGGATAATTCGCAACAAAAGATCCACACAAGACACATCCACATTGTTTTAAAATGTGTATAGTAACGTATGTCTTTTGAATATCGTAGCGCATTTGTTTAATTACTCACAAATACGAAATGTTTGAATTTGTTTAGAAGATAAAAACGTAACCTTTGTTTTTCGTTAAAAATAACATTTATCTTTCGGTATGGTTTGTGATTTATATCAGCAAGGTAAACGCATATATTTTGCTATTAAATGCTCTCTGAACGAACCCTGTATATTGCTCAATAAACTAGTAATGATGGCCAGAGAACAGGTGTTTTAGTATAAACAATTAAAAATTCTCAAAAAACTACTTGATCAATATATACTCCAATTTTGTTGTTGTTATTTAGAAGTACGAATCCTACGGATTTGAAGAATTTCATGTACTTGCGTGAAATTATTGTCGCATTACCAAGAAGTGCCAAAACCTGCACTTTGCCTCGTTTTTCGGCCATAACATTTTTGCTATTCGTCGGATCTTTTTACGCGTGGTCTCATTTTGTAGGTGTCATAAATACCTAAAAATCTTGTGAAAAAAGTTGTTTGTTCCCGTCAACACTTTCGATCGAATCCCAAAAAACACGGTTTCTCATTCTTTGTTGTCAAATAAAAAGTTTTCCCACAAAAATTGTTGTACCCATTTTATGCGTCCATGTTTTAAATACCCCCTTGAAAAACTTGCAACAATGAAACCAGACTTCTCTCCTCTTTTACAGTAAATGGTATTGCTCGTAGTAGTTTATTTTCCTAAAATCTAGATGTTTCATATTTACTGGGTTGGTTCCTTTCTGCAAAAAGCCGTCCATGTGTAATTCAAAAAACATTCGTCTTCTGAATAAGGCGAATGTGTTGATTACGAATCCGATGTCAGTTTTGGCAGTTTGTCTGAACTACCACTTCCACGCTTCACTATCCGTTACACAAAAACGCGTATGTCGGGGCATTTTTCTAATCTAATTGATTTTCCATGCTACTTTTTGTAGCATCGGTAACCAACAGATCTGGCCAATTCAATAATACTACCTACCGAGTAATTCTTGTTAGGTACGCATTACTACACTTCAGCTGAAAAAGTGAACCAAAAAGAAAAGTATCGATTAGGCATATCGAGAAAAGTAAACACGGCGGATAAGTCACAAAAAACGTCCTCGTGCCTAGTGAACCTTTCCGAATTCTTCACGGGTTATTAGGCAGAAACGATTTGAACGGCTGCGAGCTGTAGTTGTCATTCAGAAACGCTGATGACTAACCGATTGGCTGAATAATGGAAGTGATCTCATTGAGAGTGAATATACAAAACAGGGCAGATTTTATATGAATGATACTAATCTAGCAAAGATAAAAATAAACGACTGCTCTGTTTATGGCATGGTTATCACATAAAAAATCGCATTCTGACAGTTACTATTGCAAAATTCATAATAGGTACTAATCTGTTCAGATACACGCTTTGACGCCGTGAACGCCTTTTTTGGATTTTCACTGCTACTTGTCCAAATTACTGCAACTGGTATTTCGCTAGCGTGGTTTGTGGGTTGCACGCTCATTAGGCTGTCCCAGCCGATGATGGCAAACAAACACCTTATTCTTAGCGTGTTGAAAAGAAGAGAGAAGTTTTAGGTCGACTGAACAAGGACCCGCCTTTGATTGAAACATAGTCGATATTTTTCTCTGAAATGAAAAAATGAAGGGTAGCTACCATCTAAACATACTGATTTTGTTCGTCCGACCACAAACAGTCAACCATGGAAAGATGTTTTGTGCTTTCTGGCAACTCATCAGCATCGTCTAGACTTGGCCTGAGGTTAGAACAATGAACGAAAACATGGCAACTAACCTCTATCTGAGATATAAGGTATATCGAAACATGACAGTATAGGGTGACATCTATTGCCAGAATCGTAGTTTATGCTGGCTTATTTTAACAATTAGCATATTATATCGAAGCATTTAAAGAAGACAAACGAAAATGTATTTGTCAGACTTACCATAAAGTGGGCCAGAAAGTTCTTCTTTCGATGGGATGGAGCGTTTACCGACTTTCTTTGGCTAAATTAGCAACAATTTTTAATTTAGTTTAGTTTCCTACATCGACGTCAAACAGAGATAAGACAGAAACCTCATCAGCTAAATACCATAAGTGTTGGCAGAACTTTTGTAAAGCTCCTTTTGTCAATTATTCGTAAGCCTTCATTTCATTTAAAAAGCATAAATCCTGGTTAGATGCTATTACCGCTAAAGTGCATTGCAACCACGGTTTGACGTACGTTGTCACGATGAGCAGGCAGATATCTAACAGAGCTGCATTATCCTTATTAGAAAGCTTGAGCTGGGAACTTGGTAACGCTAATTTTAATGAATAGATGGCTCTGGCCATCCATCAAGCTTGGCGGTCGAATTTTAAATTTTTTTCTCTATCTCCGCCAAGGAATATTATTGTAAGTTCTACTAATTCTCGATAGTCGTCTCTAGCAACTTTTAGTCAATTCGTGACGATAAAATTCTAGCAGCTTTTCAGTCTCTAAAATATTCAAGCATAATAGCTTTTCAGTATAAATACGTATTTTCTAGGGATCCACACTTTTCCAGCTATGGCGAAACTTTTTAAACATTGGGTGTCAGGGCTTGTAGTGTGGGCTGTGAGCTGGGATGGGCAAAGCTTCTTGTAAATCTATCTCAGAATCTGTAGATGAATGTTTTTGCACTGTTTCGTAAGACGATGTCGAAGGAGTTAAGGAAGCAAGATATTTTCCTAAAACGCTTCCTAAAATGCGCTCTTTCTGATTTATATCTAATTTCTTGTCTACTCCAGCTAAATGACCAGGTCCACCTGGCTCCCTCTGCCGCTATCTTCATTTACTTTCATCAATTGAAGGGCATCGGCATGCGCAATATAAAACAGGTTGTCCAAGTTGCTCAAGCACTTCTTGTTTGGCTTGCATTTCTTTGCAAACTTGGTATCAGGTAACTAGTTTCCTAACACAGTTAGGTAGAGACTTAGTCCCAGTAAATAATGCACTCACGAATAGTAAGATTGACGCTCTCATTGACAGTTAGATTCACTTCCCGGATATTATAGACCAAAACTGCTAGTACTTGTCCATCAGAGGGAAGTTTTGAACCGGTAATTTAATGCTTTACATCCCCTGTTAAAAATATTCCCTTTTTATAACTGTCTCATTCCTTCGACATGTTGACTGAACGATAACAGTGAGTTTACTAATGGAACAAACGAGCACTGTTTTGACATGTCCGCAACTCGGCAAGGATTGCTCTGGTTCTACGTTCATAAAATTTTATTTACAATTGTTCTGACACTGTTCCAGCAAAGTTACAGGGTATGCGTTTTAAAGATAGAACTTTCATTTTTTTTTGGGAAGCCTAACGCTCATAGGATACTTTTGTTTCCCAGAAAATATAAGTATAAATATATGCATCGCTTTTACCAAATAACACAAACAACTCGTGCAAGCCACTGGTACAGTAGCGTATCTGGCTCCTCAGGAGCCCTATATCAAGATAGCTACTATGAGTGTATCCCAAATAGAGGGTAAAAGTATAAATTTTTCAAAAGAAGCATAAATGCTTGCATTGAATAATATGAATTGTCACGTTTTGACCATTTTCTCAGTCAGAGGGGGTGGATCATCGGCAAGAGATAACTCTCTGTAAAAGCGTACCTACCCCCAAGACCTTTTGAAGAACAAAGGCTAGCAAGTTGAAGAACTGTGAATACTGAAATTTTAGGAATACAGATTGACGTTTTTTGTTGAGCGACGTAAATGCTTGTAGGGTAGCAATGGGTAATACTACTTCATTTTTGAAAGTTGTTTAAATGGCAACGGTGTTAATGAGCAAAAACTGTTATAGCTTTTACTGAACATTTTTAAGGGATAACTCTGTAAAAGCGTAGCGTACCTACCCCCAAGACCTTTTGAAGGACAAAAGCTAGCAAGTTGAAGAACCGTGAATGCTAAAATTTTAGGAATACAGATTGACGTTTTTTGTTGAGCGACGTAAGTGAATGTGGGGTAACAATGGGTAATGCTACTTCATTTTTGAAAGTTGTTTAAATGGCAACGGTGTTAATGAGCAAAAACTATTATAGCTTTTCCTGAACATTTTTAAGGGACAACTCTCTGTAAAAGCGTACTTACCCCCAAGACCTTTTGAAGAACAAAAGCTAGCAAAATGAAGAACCGTGAATGCTAAAATTTTAGGAATACAGATTGACGTTTTTTGTTGAGCGACGTAAATGCATGTGGGGTAACAATGGGTAATGCTACTTCATTTTTGAAAGTTGTTTAAATGGCAACGGTGTTAATGAGCAATAACTATTATAGCTTTTCCTAAACATTTTTAAGGGACCAGGGCTTATATTGACTCATGGAAAATTTGAAAATAGGCACAAGAGAATGCTTGGGAAGCAACGAGTTAATCTACTCGATACTATTTTTCAATTTTTTTCTATTAAGCCATCCATGGCAGAAGACAATTTTAGTGTTTCAGAATGTTTAGCCTCTGACGGCAGTACTAGGCTTGGTAATCAAAGTTGCCTCATATAAGTCCTATGGTGTTTCGATTACTTTTAATTTTTAAATGCTTCTCTCAGCTGTTGTAGTTGTAGTCTGGGTGGTAAAAAATACCAAACCTGCATCTATCACCTAGCCGCACAATTTGAAGTTTAGCGCTTGATAATTTTAATTTCATGTACGTAAAAATGAGCGTGGACTTGTGAATAACGTCTTATCAATATATAATAATTTTTTTGGGCCCCTGTAAGTTGGCGGTAGCTATACTCCTGCATTGGTAGCTGTTGGGTTGTATCAATTCTGCAAAAATTGCAATATTTCAAAGAAGTGATAAATCTGAAGTAATAAATTACAATCTGAAAGTTGCAGTTATACATAATAGGGGTGCCGAGCTGTTGTGGAAGTTACGCACGAAATTCCACATACTTGAACAAAGTAGATGGCACATCCCTTATGGCAAATGGCTCCCAGTAAAATTGACTGAAATTTTAGTATATTGCTCTCCATATCAATCTGATCACAGGTCTTCACAAACATGTGGTCCTAAGCATGATAAATTCGAAAATCATCAGAGTTTACCGGCAGACACTAACATGATATATGTATAATGATTTGCTTGGGCATTGATTAGAAACGTAGCAGCTTTTGTAATGCCGAGTGACCCCTCTACGAAATGTCTGTCAATTTTCACATTTTGTACAAACTAGTAATATTGCTTTCGTCCATTCGGCCATTGGCAACCCTTCAGCGTGGACTAGTCTTGGTCACAGGTAGAACAACGAATGGAAGCTGAGCAACTATCCTATATGCAGGATATAAAGTCTATCGAAGTAAAAGAGCACAAAGTGCCATCTATAACCAGAATCGGCGGCATCTAGAGGCCACAGTGGCGACCTGGCTGGCAAATGCGAACCGTTCCAACAGTTAGCCTAATGTTTCACTCTCGCATTGGTCCATTCTGGTAATGGATTGCATTTAGTGTTGACGTATTTCAATACATCTTGTACAGTCAAAAAGATGTGTAAAAAATGTGTCTGAAAGTCGGCTGATAATACATGGGTCCAATCGGCATTATAGAAGTTACTAACTTTCTAATCAATGGCCAATAATATGATAAAATCATGTTGGCGCCTGTCGTAGACTCATACAATTTTTGGTTGATGAGCTTGCGCGCCTGTAACTCATGAACTGTTAATATTAGAACCATACGTCTATTGAGAATTTTTATCAAATTAGTATGGGGAACATAGTAGAATTTCAGCTGTAATATGGTATGTGCCATATCTTTTCTTCAGAAACAATTCTCGCAGAGAGTATTACTATATCACATTTCCTCAACCGATGTCACAGGAAGACGCATGACCCCTAACAGAGTCAGCTGGCGGTCACGTGACTTAGTGTAAACGTCGACACGTGACCGGCGTGTGCACCCTAATTTGATAATGGGGTTGCTGCCCCGTCACTTTGGGGGAAGAATTACGAGCTCATTATCGTAATTGACTGTGGTTATACCTGAAAACGGGGGTGAAAGGAACCCGAAGCTGTCAGATAGGTGAAAGGTATTCGCTTTGGCCGTCGTCCGGTTCGCTCTGGTTGCTTTTTTAATAAAAAAAGTTACGTAGTCACGATAGGGATCGATAGGATGTCTGGGGTGATTTTTGCCTGACCGCTGTTTTGTATGCGGGAAGCGTATTTTCACTGGAACGAAACGTCTAGAAAAGGATTTTATATCTTTGGTGTAATTTAAGGTTCGAATCATGTCTTCATACCCGTACATGGAAGCTCCTAGGGTGTCACTCAATATTTTCAAATCTATTTTCAAATGATGATGATTATCTTTAGAAGCGGGGTACCACGCCTACTGGCGAAAAAGTATTTAAAACGGAAAAAATGAGATGTTTTTTGGATGTACATCACGAAAAACCATGTTCCTCATTTGCGTCGGTGTGTCAGTCGGTTGGTCCGCAAATCCATGGCCCGTCTATAATTGAAAAGCACTGCTCGGATTTCCTTCACACTTCCACACAAAGTTACTACTATATCAGGAACGAAAACGATTTGTGTTTTTTGAAAACCAGTCCAGTAGCGGCCGAAAAAATGCCAAAAACGAGCATAATAAAATTCACTCAATATTTGTTTGTTGGCGTTTTAGGGGATCATTTTTTAAAATTTCTCACGGGTGAAATATTAGGAGTTGTGGGGGGTGCCGGAGAGGGTGTATCGCAAGTTTGTGATGTACGAGGGTGGTTCCAGAAGTACCCGACCCGACGAAGAAAACACAAAATTTTTGTAAAAACATGTATTTATTTTTCAACATAATCTCCGTTGAGCTCTATACACTTTTCCTAGCGACGTTCAATAAGTTCAATATCCTTTTTATAATAAGAACTGTCTTGCTCCTCAAAATAGCCATTAACTGCCGACATCACTTCTTCATCGTTGGAAAATCGTTGACCACTGAGCCATTTTTTCAAGTTTGTAAAATAAGCCGAGGGCGCTAAATCTGGTGAATAGGGTGCATTAGAATAACGGATTTGTGAACTGGTGCATTGTCTTGATAAAACAACACTTTCTTCTTAACCAAATGCGGCCGTTTTTGCTTGATTTTATCGCTCAAACGTTGCAATAAGTTCGCATAATACTCGCCGTTGATAGTTTTACTTTTTTCAAGATAGTCAATAAAAATTATCCCACGCGCATCCCAATAAACCGACGCTATAACCTTGCCTGCAGATAAAACGGTCTTCGCCTTCTTTGGAGCCGGTTGTCCCTTTTGAGTCCATTGTTTTGATTGTTCTTTTATCTCGGGTGTGAAGTGATGGACCCATGTTTCATCCATGTTATGAAGTGACGCAAAAATTCTGCTTTGTTGCTGTGAAACTTCGCTAAACACTAAATTGAAACATCTTCACGACACTGTTTTTGCTCGATTGTGAGCAATCGCGGCACCCATCTTGCACACAGCTTTCTCATGTTCAAATGTTCAGATAATATGCGATGTATGTCTGCTAGCTCGTGCACTTTCAGTCGAGGATCATTCAGTACCGCTTTGTGAATTTTCTTCAGCATTTCTGGTTCGTCACCTCATTTGGTCGACCACTGCGATGCTCGTCTTGGCAGCTCATACGGCCTCGTTTAAACTCTGCTACCCAATATTTTACTGTTGTCAACGAAGGAGCAGACTCACCCAGAGTAGAATCCAGTTCAGCTTTTATATTGGTTGGGCTGAAACCTTTGAAATAAAAGTATTGTACCACATAACGATGACCAATTTTCTCCATTTTCACAAATTCACTGAAAACGTTCAGTATTGATGGCTGCCAAACAAATACTAAACAACGTGGCGTCTTCGAACTTGACACATATGCTTTATAGATTGCATACTTTCTAATACAATGATATTTTTCAAACAACTATCACCATCTCTAAGTCAGGCCCGGTACTTCTGGGACCACCCTCGTAAGTATATTAATATACACCCAAATGCCGGTAATTACGCTTGCATTAGACATATTTCACACATAATGAAGTTACTTGATTTCGTGAGGTAATAGAATATAGTATAGTAGAATATAAGTACGTATCAATTATCAAATATTGTTCATAAACAGTTTTACACCACAGCAAAGAAATGAGGATGTCGTGTACGGGCACCGTTCTGTATTATTCGCTATCCAAATCCTGAATATTGTCTACTAAGGTTAAGTTCCTTCTATAAGAATCTAGCGACAAATCATATGGCAGAGACAAAGTACAAGAAAAAATTGCTATAATTAGCCTTTATTTGTCTTTATTTACGAAATATTGGGATATCTCATAAACTTAGATATATACACGAAATATATTTGAATCTCGGGTAGAATTCAAAAAAATGGATAATATACATTTCATTTAAGAAAGCAGATTGGTAGTTACTTCTGGTAGAACCGGAAGTATAGTCATTTTGAAAGTATTTTAACTCGATGCTGTCCAGAGGAGAGTTGTCCGACTGATCGATGACTTCTCTAACAGTCAGTCTCGGGACCCTTTCGCACCGATGGGCCATCGGCAATCCAGCTCTCTTCTACCGCTACACCAATGGGATTTTCTCCTCAGACCAGAGCTGCGTCGGCTGCGTCGGTATAAAAGAACTCAGTATTTTATAGTCATCTATAATCAGCACCCATCAAATTAGATCAAATTTGACTCCAAGGAATTATTTTAATAAATAGCAACAAGCTATTTCGCGAGGTGCCCAAAAATCAACATTTCAAGGTAATATTCCAATACAACTGCTTGACTGAATCTGAAAACTACTATAGCTACCTCAATCTGCATTTTTTTTTTTCAAAGACCTATCGGCCTGATAAGTCCTCTTTACATTTGCTGATATTATAAGAATCTGGAGAAAAATCTTATTGCAGAGACAAAATACGACAAAAAATTGTTTTGATAATTCATATCTCTATCTCTATTTGTCCTTATTTACGAAAAATGTGAGATATCTCATAAGCTTAGGAACAAGATGATATTCAGGAAATATATTTAAATCTTGGGTAGAATTCAGAAAAGTGGATAATATGCAGGGTATTTTATTTTTAAATTATTCAAGTTCGTAGCTACATTTATTCCATTACGAAACTATTTAAATTCTGCTAGTCTGCTCAGTCCACATTTTTTTTCAAAGAGTTGTCGTCCTGCTAAATTTTGCAATTCATTCATCATCCATTCTATTTACCTTAGCTAATATTAAAAGATGAAAACGTGTTATTATTCAAATAATGCTGTCATCGATTGGCCAACGGAGAGAAGAGTAGGCTTTGATTTACTTAACCAGCAACTCTAATTGCAGAAAATTATGCAAATTTTCAGTCCAATTCTAACCAAAGTGTACAAACTAGAAAAAGTAGGATCACTCGCGAAGTACCTGTTCAAACTTCGAAGGAAGATTTATAAATATCCCAGAGAGCAATTGCATAATTCATCTACTAGTGTAAGGTCGCTGGATTACCATACATTATTTCTGAAAGAATTCAGTAGCGTTTATATGTACTTATGATGCCTTGCGTACCTGCTAAGTTTGGCAGAATGCCGATTTGCTGGTACCAGATGAGAAAGGTTAAGTACATTAAGACCAACTTCACTTGAATTCTGAATTCTGATTTATATACAAATGTATACTTTGTAAAACATTATTTATTATAAGGTAATATTCAGCAGCAGCCGACTACAACTTCTGCATGACTTCAAACAAGCTGTCCCGCTATAAACTAGTATATTTTTCTAACTTGTTTCTATGAAAATTTTAGAAAAAGGTTCCATATAAAAATTATAGTGTGTATAGTGAATAAAAATTTTAATGCGTTTTCTCGTATGTGTCATAGCGTATCAAATAAATTTCATTTTTATACGGGTCACCATTCGATGTCACTGACACCCTGTCAGGGGAGGACTTAGTAAATATTTTCAGATGGGGTCCATATGATAAGGGTGCTGGGAAAGGATGTCCGTCTTGGAGGGGAAGTATCGCAGATTAAAAATTGAAGACCGGACGTCGCATATTGAAAAATATGCAATTTTGTTGAAGTCTAATATATTGAGACCGGATCCGTTGGACACCACCCTGTATTCAAAAAAGACACTGTATGAAACGTTTTATATTATTCTCTATAAGTTTTGTATGAAACATCTTTCCTAAACATTCACACAAAGAAGCTAGAGGAGGACAATAATTTATAGCGGAAAACTTTTGTTAAAATATAAGTTATGGCCGGTGCGAAGTGTTTGGCAGTGCTGAATTTCACTTTGTAATAGCGTCTTCCATCTTATATATAACAATCGGCAATCAGAATTTAAGTGAAGCTCGTCTTATTTTTACTTAACCTCTATTACCTAGTACCAGCCCTCTACCGAGCTTTACAGGTATTCAATGTCCCACGCTTTGTCTTGCAGAAAATAAGTAATGTCTGGCGGCACTTGGATGTTGCACCTCTTTTACTTTCTACGCCCCTGAAAGGAAAATCCTGTAATCACGAGAGAATTCAAAGATACCAAAATAAAGATCATGATGAATGCCCCTTGGTGGTTCGTAATAGGGATATTCATCGCGATTTGAATATACCTGCTTATCGACGAGATCATTAAAGTTCTATGGCTCCTGGACAACTACAATGCCGTCCGATGAGCGAGGACCAAGCGGTATGAACTTGTGTGGTGTTTTGTGTCTAAAGCAGAGCAGTTCGCGAGTTTCTAGTGACAATATCAATTATACGTTTAAGTTGTTTAAAAGACATCACTGGATTGCCCCTAATGATAAGTATTAGTTTTAAGAGCATACAAAGCCACTCAAAAAACAAACAAAAAATTTTTATTTCCCACACCACTGAGGAGGAAGTTATCAAATGGGCCGGGACTATGGGCTAATCAAATAGATCTATTTGTCTCACTTGATCCATTCAATATTTTTTGTTGTACTAGCTGGTAACAAACTTTATTTTCAGAGGGGATAACTTCAGCCGAATCATTTATTGACTAATGACAGCGTTACGTAGGAAGTGCAGAGTCAACCCACTTGATACCATTTTTGTTGCTGTTAAGATTATCTGCCTCATCTTGGGATTTACCATACGAAGAAGGTGGTTTGATTGTGGAGTGACACCACTATTTGTACATTGTATACGTTGTTCTCTCAGATAGACAATTAAAGTGAAAAAGTGGCATAAGCCAATGATTTATGATCGTAATATCAGGCTTGAAATCGTGGAGTTAGAGTCGCATTATAGCGACCTTCTGTGTAAGCACTGCGCATTTCAGCGAATCATCCATCATTCAGCTAGGTTGATACAAATTACGCTGAAATACAGCATACATCTGCGAAATCGTCGAACTGACCTCAAAAATCAGCTAGATCGGAATAAAATTGCACTAGTGCATGATGTTTAGATCGTCTATGCTAAGTACTTGCATACGTGTATGTTTGTAGGAAAATTATCTCTTAGTAGCTCCGTCCTCTTGAAAAAACTATTAGCTCTCTGGCAGATATATCTTAGACTATCTGCTGGGGGCGTTGATTTTTTACTTGAAGACATGCTATATCAAGTAGATTATGTCTGACTCAGATCATTGTAGCCCATTTCTACAGAATGTGGTTCACTGTTTCGTCTCCCTCCAAGCAGAGTATGCAATGCTGGCCAAAGTCGTTTTCCTTTTTAGATTTCTATGTGTACGGGGAAGAAAAACGAACGAAGCTTGTTAGAAAGAGTGGCCATCCGAACGTCATCACCACGTTGCCTAGAATTGGGGGAGGGCGCGAAGCGCGGCTGTAACTAATCCCCCACTATCGTTGCCAGGCATCGAGTTGACGATGGTTTTAGAGCGCACTGGATGGCGCACTCTGACAAACATACGTATTGCATCTTGTTGCACGCTCCTCTTTCTTATACATATTCAAATCTAAAAGGGGAAACGACTTTGGCCAGCACTGTATATTCAACCTCTTCCATTAAGTCCAAGTTTCTCTCTTGGCCGTACAAAATGGTGTCAGGGGGCGAAGCTATTGAGTAATTGAAAAGTCTTACAAACGTATGCCTGGCGATTTTTGTCGTATCCGCAGCGGATCATCATCGCACAAGGCACCATCGTTATTTGCAATAACACACACAAAATGACGCCGAAAACAGTGTACAAAAATGAAATGTTTCCAGTTAAAATCATCAATGCATAAATTCATGTGACTTTGATATATTTTGACGATAAAGGATGTTGGCATGAGATTTTGTATCAAGACCAAGTCTTTCCCATTCTGCCATAGAGGCTCTTCCGTGCTCCACTCTACGCCACTGTCTCCCTTCCCTGCGGTATAATCTACCTTTCATCAATGTTTATAGCGTTGCACAAAAAACACTATTACCTTTTAGCGACCCTTCGTCTAACGTGAGTTAGAAAATTATTCAACTGCAGGGGGTTGGGGTGTTGAAGAAGTGGCGTGTGCGAGACTGGAGGTGTTAAGGTTGATACAGGGTGAACAACCTTGCGAAAAATAAAAAACGATGTGTGGCATTATTTGCCTTCCAAAGTAGCTGTATAAGAATGGAAGCCTCGTCGGACTTATTCAGAAAATAAGTTTTCATCCAAGCCAAGTCTAAGCTGACCGTAAAAAACAACTTTCTAAACTATTTCAGGGTGTGGAAGTCAGACGTGGAATGGCTTTTCTCTCAAGTTCAAAATTTAGAATAACTTTTATATGGGATCATCACAATTTTAAGTAAAAAATGATACTGTTAGAAATAGAATACTCAATGCTGAGAGTTTTGTTGCAATATGCTTCGGCACATCAGACTCGGCCAGATCGAAGTAATTTCAGTCACAAACATTAATTAGTCATAAAGGTAGGCCTGACACCTAGGCTCTATTTCATCGCCACCACAATCGCTGGACCTAAATCCACTTTATTTCGAGTTGCACACTTTGTGTACCATGTTCCATGAAAAAACGAGGGACATAAATGCCACCTTCATTATAACTTCAATCAAAAGAAAATCACAACAGAGTGCGAATAGCAATAACAACGACAGAAGGACTAATATTGGAAACAGTAGGATACCTTGCGTAGATTCTACTCAATTTTTCTAAATAGTTATCATGATGTGAGCTTGGCTAATATCAAATACTTATTTAAGCATGTTATGAAAATTCCTGCTATTATATCATTGCCACAATATCCTATAAAAAGATTTTGACGTAGCTTAGTTAATTTGATATCCCTATTTTTTTTTGCGTACGGAGCCTTCTATAGAATCTCGTGACACTGAAATGAGTACGTAAAATTCTAACTTATAATGCGAAAATACATTTCCTAAGAGCTTTTCAAATTAAAATTGAAGTAGATAGTAAGTCGATTCATAAAAAAATTTGGTTTTCCATGATATTTTGCATTTTTCAATGTTATTGTATACACTTATGTTAGCAAACCTTAGACTGGGACCGAGTGCTCAATGAAACAAAAAGTTAAATGAAATAAATAAAAATTGCCTGACAACTGTCAAGGTACAAGCCCAATGTTAAGGTACATGCCCTTTCGCAACGGCGATGACTAAAATATATAACACTTATCCATGAAGAGATTTAAGCTTATTCGGTTTACACTGCTTTACGCAATCCACAAAAACCATGACTACTCAAATTGTTTGCTTGCTCCTTGTACCTAACCCTAATTCGTTGGACGGAGCTGAGAGATATGGTGTTCCGTGATGTACATGTAATGAACAGTCAAAACGTAATACCTCGTTCCCGAAATATCTTTTGTTTACAAATACTTCCTCGACAATGGATACAAATATGACAAAATGAAACAGAAGATGTAGCGGGTGTAGTAGTCATCTGCTGGTGTCAGTTCCAATTAATGTACTCATAACTCCGTTTTGCCGTACCGTTGCCGATGCGTTTCACCAGCAATATTAACATAAATTTGTGTGTGCCATCATCAGAGTGTGCCGTATAATCGTGGTCTCGCGTGTTTCAATAATTAAATTATACATGTATATAGGATAATAACCATGGGGCAACAAGCAAGGTAATCCCCATTAAAACGCTATATGCTACCCTCTACACAGTGGCGTAGATATACCAGGTGGAAAATAAAAAAGGTCAAGACAAGGCATAGGGGAAAGGAAGGTAAGAGACAAACGTCATAGTTACAAAATCAACCGTTTTATTAAAAAGTATTTCTTATACTACCGAATAAATGGTTTAGACTTCAAACAAAACATACAAATAACAAGATACTAGATTATAACCAATAATTTGGTTTTGGTCCGTTCTGCCTACATGTGAAGGTAAAACGGACTGCCGTTCAAGGCAAAATGGAACTAGATTCACATCTTTCATATATGAACGTAGCGTCTCCGTCTTCATCGTCAACACCAGCACAATTACATTGTGCCTACATGTTGCTTATTTGACACTGTATCCAGCCTTTGTTGGACTCTGAATATAGGTGCGAGCAATAAAAACACTGTGCATCTTGATTTTCTTCATCTGACGAATCTCTTTATTGTCCCTTGACTTTGCCCTCAATTCTGCCCTTGCCTTTGCTTTTCTTCAAATTGACTGTCTTTCCCCGTTTAACATTCCATCTCTACGTTTTTGAAGTTTTTTGAAACGGCATATTGTCTTTTGGACTAACAATGAACAAACTTTGATTTTCCAATGAAGTCGGTTGAGGTTTTTCTATTGATGAGGATGGCTGAGTATCAAGTATCATTGCTGTTTCATTAGACTCCATTGGGGGTGGAAGATCTTCTCTCAGTGTGATTTCACGTTCATCATCATTGATTGGCGTATTTCTTGTCATTGGTGGATAAAATTCTGACCAGACGTTGATCTGCGGATCGTCAATGATTGGTATTTTATTGGTTTCAGATAAGCATGGCTGTGACTTATCGCTAGTTGCTGATGGCTGCACATTATCATTAACCAATTTTTGATTAGTCGTTGTCAAAGAAGACTGCAATGCATCCCCAAATATTGAAGGCTGAGAAAAAGTGATGAAAGTTAAAGTAATAACCAGCTCAATTCTAACATAAAAGTGGAATATTAACATCCAATTTCAGAGTTGTACTAATATTTCCTAAAAAGTTGTGATTGAATATGAATTGCACAAAGAAATGCAAAGAAAATAAATGTTGACCAAAAAAATATTGGTGACATTGTTTTTAGTCACATCTATGCACACCATGGAATAATCACATGAAGAGGATTTAGAATACTGCTCGAAACAGGCAGTTAAATAAAAGGACATACGATCTTAACCAATAACTTAAATATCTGCAGATTCTTTTAATAGAAATCATCTTTTAGGAATTCCGACAAAAAATGTCAAACGGAGTTAGATTGCATGATCTCGCAAAGACGTCATTGCCAGAAATCACATGAACATCAGGAAAACATGCCTATGGCAATTTCAAAGTTTACTTTGCCGTACGACTCGTCGCTCAATTTTGTTGCGAGAACATATTGTTAAAGTGCATATATTATTCAATTGGAGCCACGATCTATATTTTTGGATACGCTTGCCATGTACATTTACCGTTCCACCATATTTTTATGAGCAAATGAATTACTATTACCAACACTACGAGAGAGAAAAAAGTACTCGACAAGAACATCGAATCACAACGTAACTCTATTAACTCATAATACACAGGGTGTCCTGAAACTTGGGGTTTCCTTGTCAGAAACAACTATGAAATAAGAAATTTAATTTGCGGTAAAACAGCACCGAAAGCAAAAAAATGAAGAGAATGCTTTCTATTTATTTAGTACCACATTTGGAATTCCTACTGTCCTGTCACATGTTTTGTTTGTAATGATTCCTTGAAGTTGTCGCTGTTCGATTGAAAAGCATGGGTTTGTTTACTTCTTACTAAATTTGCAACATTTGGGGCTGTGTGGTTCTTCTACTGTGTCCACCAAGATGGCTTTTGCATGATATAGACAAACCTATGCAGCTCTGATGGAAATATCCAAGCCGACGGCGACATTCTAAATAGGTACTCGAGTACACTATTGCAGAATGAATGTGATCTTGAAGTCGCTCACAGTAATCTCACATCAACTCAAAAACTATGTTATTGCTATAGGAATGTGTCAATTTCGGTTTTCAAATGCGGCTTGTCCATAAACTGGGTTAACCTACACACCGCGCGGCGCGTGATTTGAATACTGTCTTACATAGTCATAGACTACCACATAACATCATACACTTTGACGTAGGACAAAGGGTGGCGGGATCGGAATGGCTTACTTAGAGTTTTCGGAACCCAATACCCTAAAGCTTTGGTATATGTTAATAGGAAAACTTGCGTATTACTGCCTGACATACGTTCTGTAAAGGAATGTCACAACTTTGAGGATACCCTGTATATTTAGCCATTACATAATCATGAAATTATGTATATCAAATTATACTGCAAGCATTGAAACAGTTTATACATATGTAGATGTACGACAATGATAAAATAGAAAGGAATCAATAAATCAAATATTGGTATTGCAAATGTTTACCTTGCATATCTAAAAATCCACCAGCAGATATTTGTAGGTACAGGTAAGAATTTACAGGCGGTTGCTTGAAATGCCTCACATATTTAATGTTTACGAATAAAGTGACATTTATGAATCGTAAATAGATTATAATTATTGGCTAATTGTTATTGTTGCCTTGCAAAAATATATAAACGTTTAGTATTTGCCAATAAACAGACGATTAGTCGATTATTTCAGATAAGATCTGCACGTGCACTATGGATTCTATTGATATGCTAAGCGATCTTGTCATACATGAACGATACTAATAATACCTAAATTTTTTATTACTGCAAATTATTAAGTAATAAAAAAATGTTACATTACATATTAGAGTTTCCAAATCATTTCAAAAATACTTTTAAATATCTAATCGCCTGGTGTGAAAGTGACAAAGTGAACTTGATGAATGCAACAGACACGCGATTTAGCTTTGACTGGTCTATCGAAGGGGAGGAAGGTTCAAAGGTTTTCTTTCTATTAAAATTAAAAGCTGCTTGCCAAAATCGTGCCGATTGATGTGGCATTCAAGAAGAAGAATAATCATTTTCAAATATGTAGTGTTCATTTGTCAACCTTACATAATTAAATTAACAGGTTGTGATTTTAAATGACATTGCTTATCTAGTGTGTTTTTTGTTTTCGTTGTTTGTCTAGAGAGAGAACAGCTAATTTCTCGGGTTAGTAGTAAAAAGACGTTTTTTGTAGTCACGGCACCTTTTCGGAGAAAATTTTATTGAATACCATCCAATTCTCAATAGATTTTGTCTCTTAAGGAATTTTTGTCAGATGGTTCGTTTTGGAGATATTTAGGTTTGAATATTTGAGGTAAAATACTAAAATATTCTTATGAAAATGCTTAGCTTCCCCCATTCTGGAAACACCGTGGAGATTGATATTGGAAACACTATATGTGGCATCTGGAGAAAGCCTCAATCAGTAGCGTAGAAGCGCGCCATTCATTAAACATTGCTTCTGCACGCCACTGGTTGACATGGTATACTTCTCCTGGTATTACCCCTATTAGATTCTTCCGTTTGTCTAAAATTACAACTAGTAATTCTGGAACCAATCAATTTAAGAAAAATCATTATAATTTTTCAGCATTTTGGATTAGGTAGGCTCAACAAAGAAGATATAACAAATCGTTCCGTTAGCAGCCTTGGACACAAATTATAAGGACGAAGTATACAGAAGGCTTTCAACATGGGCTTGTATTGAATCCAGAGGTGGTCACTATCAACACCTCCTTTAGGTTGGATGTTGTAGCATTTAATCTGCATCATTTTTTGTTCCCAATGTTATGTCCTCATAAATTTAGAAATAACCATGTAAGTTGTATTAAACGCAATGTTTATTGTTTTAGTGTTTAGTTCTTATCAGCTTCATTTATTCCTAAAATAAGCATGTTAGTTGTCCTAAAGTTTCTGTATCTATAAAAGTAATGTAAGTTCCGGCAAAACCAGTGGCATGCACGGGAAATGTTTAAATATGGTAACCTTCTACGCTACCGATTGAGGGTAACGTTGCAATGAGGTGTCATAGCTTTCTTCACACGTTATATCGTATTTTCAAAAACAAGTATCATGGTGTTTTCAGAATAAGGGAACCTCTTCATAAGAATATTCAAGCCTAAATATCTCGAAACCGAGTGATTTGGCAAAAATTTCCTGAGAGAAAAAATGTATGGTAAATTGAACGGTATTTTATGAAATGCACTTCTTATCCCCGAAAAGGTCAGTGGCGTAGAAAATGTTTTTCACTAGGGATCCGAGTACCCCAGCTTCTACGTCGCTGATTTAGTTTGGGTCGGGAACCTCTGTGTGTTCATTTTTTCTGGTGAGCTCACTGAACGTTTGAAATCTTAACTCAGTATCTCTACTTGCTCTGTATTATTTAATTTCGTAAAAAAACGGCATCACCCTGTATCAGGGAAGGGGAGCATCTTTGGACTCATATTTATGAAAACCTCGGACTAAAAATATATTATATTTTTAGTCTGAGATGAAAACTTTTTTGTTATTTCTGATATACTTTCTACTCATCCTGTATAATTATTAGAGTCTGCAACGATATCAGGCGGGCAATGGTGGCAGCGGGAAAAGTACTAAAATTTTGCCATTTGATACCTCTGAGTGATTGTTCCTGTAGCTATTGTAAATGAAACTCTGCTGGCTTGTACCATCACCTTCTCCGATAGTTACAGATGGCTAAACAACCTTGTACGGTTATAGTGACTCAAATTCAACTGCCTCAAGTTTGATTAAACTAAACATTCGACTTCCGACGAAGGTTGTGCTAAAAGTCCCAAATAGGCTTCAGCTACCGCTATTTCCAAAAGTACACCTTCAGCTAACACTCACCAGAGGTTTTGTGAAAATATCGCTTATGTGGAAAGTAAAAGATGCATATTATTATAAGTTTTCCTAATTTAGGCACAAATCATAAAAAGTTACAACTTACAAAAAAAAGATCGAACGGCACAAAAGTTTGATATTCTGTCACTTTATTTCAATAACGCAACCGACATCTGTATATTAACTAAGCATTTATCTTCGATTTAAGCTGTAGGTTGTCTTAAAAATCTGTAGTTTTTTGTGAAAGAGTTCTTCGAAGGAAATTCATCCATCATCCACCGGTAGTAGTTGTCATCAAGATGTCTTCATCAAGGAGGGTTACAGAAAGATGTACATCTCGGGAGTTGCTTCGATCAAAGATTGAAGTGAGGAAGGGGGGTGGGGGCAGGTCGGCAGCATCAGCTTTTCTGAGAATGAAAGCCTTCATGATAGTTAAAGAGTGGGGAGTAATCGACGATTGAACTTTAAAGAGCGGCGGGGCTGCATTACTGCTTTTGAGGGTAAACGCCCCTATGATATAATTGGAGAGCAGGGGGGTAGCGGAGCCGGGTCGATCTTGATTCGCCCTGGAGTGGGGGAGGTGTCGTGGATAGCATGACCCCCTGGATCCGCCCTTGATCTGCATGCCTTCTCGTCCATGCTCAGAGGAAGAAGCATGTCATCGTTTCAGTCGCTGACGACCCAGAATAATCTGCATGTCCATCGCGGCAGAAGGTAATTAAATATTTGCCATCATGCCGGCAGCAAAGCCGCGGCATACAGCATAGCCGGCCTTTGCGGCAGGCCGGCGTGATTGCTGTCCGAAATGCCCAGCCACCGTGAGCTGTGCACTGGTGATGGGCAAGCTACATCGACTAACATATCACAGAAACTGTGTAAGCAAAATTATATTTTTGCCAGGGCACTTCAAAATTCTTAGTTAACAATGCTAGGTTCCTCCTCCAACCGCGCCCTCTTCTCTCTTTCTTTCTTCTTCTCGACTTTATACTTGATGCTGTCCGGTATTTGTAGATAATAATAGGATTTCTTTGCAGGTACAAGTACAAATACATAATAAGATGTACTGAAATATAAAAAAGCAGCGGCAAAAAGGACTAGTAAGCAGTCTACCACTGATCACGATACCAGACCAAGTCTAAAAGATTTACTGACCGACTTAGACAGACTTATGTGAGATCAAAGTTAAAGGGCCTGACTCATTGATTAACGTAATTCTACCTGAAAGTAGTCAATCATATATAGTATTCTGCCGTATCTGGAAGATACTAGCACCATCTACAAGGCAGAAGCAAAACAAAATAATAAATTTAAAAACCTACGAGAATCAGGCTGTTTGGTTCTGCTACTCTCCCATAGATCGCACTAATCCTTCAGTCCCTTTTTTGGCGCCTCTCCAATCCTTATTTTAATTGGATCTCGTCAGGCATTAATTAACTTATCCCATCTGAAGATGCCCAATTAAAAGGAGCGTCAGAGAAGTGCCGAAAGGTGTCGAAGGTCCTAGCGCCATCTGTGAAACAATAGCAAAATCCAACAC